GCCTCCGGGGCGCCCCCCGAGGGGCTTGGGCCGCTGCGGAGCGGCGCTGCCAGGTCTTAAATATAGAAACGATCCTGTCGGCAGGTCCAAATGACCGATTTGCTGAAATCCCCCAACCCAACTCTGATGCACTGAAAAAGTGTGCAGATAAGTAGGTAAAGAAGCTGTCCTCTGATTTACTTTCGGTTGCTCCTCGCTCTTAACTGGGCAGGGAGTGACAACGGGGTCATCCAAGTTGAAGCATCTATTTTGGGGCAAGCAGTCATAAATAAGAAAGGGCTGGTAGCAAACCCAAAAGTTGGGTTATTGCTTCTCAGCCCTTTGCGGGCTAAGATCTAGCGGGGGCATCCGGATCCCAAGATCTCTGGACTGCATGGAGGATGCCTGCCAATGGATTTGGGAGTCATTGGGGATGCGTGGGGGGTGCACCCCCTGAGATCGGCCGTGCCAACCCTAGAAGCTCCAGCCGTAAAACTGGAAGTGCCGCTGGAAATCCACTTCCAGTTTTGCCACTGGCTGGGCAGTTGTCTGCTGGGGAACACCCCTTTCAGTCTGATCAGCCACTATCCCCCCCCCCCCCCCCCCCCCCCCCCCCCGCCACCCCCACCCCAGCCAAGACCAGAGAAGAACAGTGATCCCCCCCCCGTCAGCAATCTGGCACCCCTCCAGACACAGGAGGCACCAGCCGCCCATGTTGGGAGTACAGGCAACCCCCACTTAACGCTGTTTCGCTTAACACTATTTCGTTACAACGTTCATTTTAAATTGATACCTGATCCTACTTAGCGCTCAACACATTTCGCAAATGTAACACTCGCAGTCGCCATCGTGGGTCCTTAAAAACACTTGCAGTGACAATCTTGGGTCATCAGATACTTTTGGTTTCGCTTAACGCTGGTTTTTTCAGGAACCAATGAAGAGCACTAGCTGGGGGTTGCCTGTATCTGAAGTGCCAGGGTGAGAGCCCGGGCTGGAGGATGTTTGTGGGTTGTAGCGCCATATATGGTGCTTAGAACGATCGAGTTCTGCGTGCTTGATCGATGTGGTTTTTGGAACAATTGGGTTCCATTCAGTCAATATGATTTGGAACTGATTTGGCTGATTTGACCTGGAACACAAACTATATTAATAAAAAAACCAAACAAAATCCAAAAGTTGGTTAAAACACTCTGAGAGTGACTTGGGTTTTGCATACGCTGCATCAATTAACTGTCTTAAAAAGAGTCATAGGTTTTGAACACTTTTACTCTTATTGAACACTTTTACTGTCAGACATTGCACAAGCGTTGCAGTTATCGTACCAATATGATTATTGTACACCTGGCAACACTGCGGTGGAGCTGCACACGTGCTGCACAGTCTGGGGCCTGCATGGGAGTCCTCGCTATTACTGGCACTCCGGCCCCGGTGGCCCCTGGCTCTGGTGTTACTCCGCAGTGCAAAGGAACGACAGCCAAGCACTGCCCTTTCTCCAGTGATACCTGGAGGCTGGGAACCCACTAGCCTGTCCAGATCGATAACTTCCCCTGGCAGTCCAGCCCTTCTAACAGAAGCCCTTGGATTCATCGTCTACCAAGTGGTTGTGTTTGGTGTCCATTTTCCACTGCCAGAAATCAACCTGAGTGTCACTGGGTCAGATCAATAGCAGTGTTGCCAACTCTCATGATTTTTGGCATTGTTCTTAAAGTCTGCACTTCAGGAATGTGAAAAATGTATATATACATAAAAGAGAGCTAATTTCACATCCCTGAAATGTAGACTTTAAGAACAATGCCAAAAATCAAGAGAGTTGGCAATACTGCACTAGTCCATCTGGCCCAGTAGCCCGGCTTCACCTGTGGTGGGACATTCTTGGCGAGGACCAGAGTCTCCTGTGGACAAGCCTGTACACCACGCTGGTCCAGCTAGCTGCCAGGGACCTCAGCTGGTGGCTTTTCCACAGAGCCATGGCACAGGCATGTATCTGGCGTGCTTCACAGATGCCCCAACACCTGTCCCTTCTGCCAGCAGAGGAACACCCTGGCGCACGTCTGCCTGGAGTGCACCAGGCTGCAGCCCCTTCACTGCCTCTTCCAGAAACTGCTGCTGAGGGTCTAGTTGCACTTCTCCCCACACCTTTTTCTTTATGCACTCCCCATCTGCGGCCCCACCACATCCCAGGATCTGCTGGTCAAGCTCCTTCTAGCCCTGGCCAAGCTGGCTGTGGGGCCGCTTTACTTTAAATTGTGAGATCCTGTCTCTGGGCAGATAATTGCTGGGCAGTGTCCAGTGGCTCTCTGGCCTCACTTGGGGACCAGGGGGTGCTGTCTGGTATGCTCTGCTCCTTGTCACCCCTTGGCACACTAATTTTAAATATCTCACCCTCACTCCCGTCCCTGTTTTGTCTTTTGTTGTCCCAAGCATTCTGTTGTTGCCTATCTAGTGGCCTCCCTTCCTAAGAGAGTAGGGTGGTCATCATAGAGGTCAGTCCGGTTGTCCTCTGTCCATACAAAAACGAATGCCTTTATGTCCTCTATTTTTCTCTTTAAGAGGACAGAGTAGCAGAAAACACGAATGTCCTCTGTGATGGCTACTCTATAAGGGAGGCATATAGTGTTCCCTAGTCGGCATTGGCCCAGGGTCCAGGAGCAACAAATAGGTCTGGCCGTAGCCAAGCTTGCAATCTGTGTGACTAGGAAGAAGTCTCTGGCCTGGGGGATCCCCAGGGGCTTTGGGACTATTTTTCTGTCCCTTGTCCATTCACATCTCTAGGCAGAGTTTTACTGAGCAGTGTCCACTGGCTCCCTGGACTCATTTGAGGGCCAGAGTGCATTGTCTGGTATACTTTGCTTGGTGTCCTCCCTTAGTGCACTTGTTTTGAACCTTTGACCTTCACTCCTGTCCCTGTTTTCTTCTTTACTTGTTCCCTATAATCACTTGATGTGCATGTAGTGGCCTCCTGGATTAAGGGGGACTTTTAGTTTTATTTGGTGGGCAATGGCCCATGCTCCCAATGCACATCAAATAGGTCCATTTCCACCCATGACAGAAGTGGATGCTAGAGGGAGAGCCAGATAGATCTAGAGTGATCTATCCTCTAAGGGTCTCAGCATTTTTAGATAGAAGGCAACTGATGTAGACTTCAGGCACCCCTCTGAAAATGCTAGCTCTTAGTTTTTACTACTTTTTGGCTATAGAAAAATAATAGAGCAGTTTTTCTTTCAGAAAGAACTCAGAATGGCTGCACCTAGGGATTTCTGTTTGCAGTCTCTGGGGTTATCTTACGGATCTCATTTGCACACCTAAGAGTGCTAACATTGTGTGGCACCCCCTGACACCCTTGAAAGGATCTCAAGATACACTGGTTGAGAACCACTGCTCTATTCATTACTCTCCCTGGTATCCACCATTGGTTTAGAGTAGAGTAGAAGTGTCAGGAGAAAGATCTCCAACTGTTCTATTCAACAGCTAAGCAGTGGCAGTAGCATTGTACTGTGCATTACCCAATAATAGCAGAGTATCTAGGGCCCAGTTCTACAAACACACATGTACGTTGGGGCTTGACTTTCACAATAGTGCTACTGATCTCAGTGGGGCTGTTTACAGGAGGAAATTAAAAGGCAGGGTAGATTTTCATTTTAGGGACTAATTCACATACACATAGGGTTGGATTAATCCTTTAGTGGCCCTTAAGCAAATACACTTGTGGGGGCCCTACTTAATACTATATATTTATATTACTTTTTTCACTTAATATATAAAGTAAGCCCAACTGGGCCCGTTGTTCACTTGGGGCCCTAGGCATGTTCCTAGTTTGCCTATGTGTTAATTCGGGCCTTTATACACACGTGCTTTCTTGGGCTGAAGATTACTCAGTCGTGTGCACAAGATTTGGCTCCACAGTTGTCATGGTTATATTGCTGTTTTAGGTTTTGAAGTATCACTTCCTGATTTGAGTTTTTTCTTTTATGCAATGACTTTTACAGTAGAAGTTGACTTAACAGATAATGGTGATTTAATTTTTTTTTCCTATTAGTTCCTCAGCTTCTCTATGGAGGAAAGCTTGATTTTCTGGTGTTTGATTATCTTTCTGAAATTACCATGTCACTGTTAACTGCTGCGAAAGCCAAATCTCCAGTAAGTAAGACTTTAAATAATGAAATGTAACGAGAGAAAGGAATTAGAAGAATTGTCCAATTTATAGCATGCTTTATTTTGCTTAGTTTTATATTTCTCCATGTTTCAGGCATTAAAATATCATTAAGTTAAAGTATCGTAGCAATGTGATTCATGTTTTAAAGACACAAACAATCTTTACAGTAATTCAGAGATTCGGGATATATAACTGTAAAGCTTTGTCAACCAAGCATTACAATATAGACTTCAGCATACATTTATAGGAGACCGCATATGTGAGTAACAAGTTGTAGGGTTGGGTATTTAGTGTCCATGGAAAATAGGAAGTATTTCACATTGCAAAAGTTCAGTCTTTATGACTTGCACTTTTTGATGCATCTGTCAGACTTGTTTAGAATTATTGCATATTTATTTATTTGTTAGATTTATATCCCACCATATCCAAAAGGCTCAGAGCAGCTTATAATAAACAAATACCCCACAGACAGGATTCCCCAAACAACACCCTGAAATCCCATTTTTATACTAAGAAATAGCAGCAGTTGCACTTTGTTAGAAAACTGCTGTAAGCTACACAAGAGAAGGGGAATTTATCTCAAGTTTCACTGTGGTTTCTATTCAGTTTATTATTATTCCATAAATTGCTGTCATTTCAAAAATACACTGTCGTATAAAGGCAGTAACAGCACCAGTAGTTTGAAACCTTTAATAAAACACGATACATAGGCAATGTGTAGGGGAGAATGGGGGGGGCGGGGCGGGGTGGCATGTGCCCCCCTGAGATTGGCTCTCGCCAGCCAGGGAGTGGGGGCACCTAGAAAAGCTCTGGCAGCACTTCTGGTTTTGCTGCCGGCGCTTCTGGGGTCAGCAATCGGCCACTGGCCTCTCCCTCCCCACTCCCCAGTCGGTGATTGGCTGCTGGCACTCCCCAGACTCAGGAGGCACCAGTTGCTCATTATATATATTATAACCAATTTGAAATTCATTTATTTGCTATTCGTCTTTCCAGAAATAGCTTCATTTCATTGGAGGAGGAAGTAATCTTTCATCATTCATATAACAACGTATGGGGAGGATTTTTGCTAAATCTTACGTGTTTTCATTATTCCAGTACTTGGTCATTCCCTCACAGGGTCAAGCCTATTTCTGTTAACAGGTGTTTTTTCATTACCCTAAGTGGAAACAGCATGGGATCATTACATTCTAATCCTGATGAGGTTAATGTACATGCATAATTTTAGTCACATGAGTAGCCCTGTCAAAAACAAACTCCTCATCCCTACCTTCAAAACCCATTGCGGATTGATTCAAGTTTAGTGTTATAAATAATAAACCCAATTTCATGCAGAACTTCATTGGAGCTGTCATGATTCACATTAGCAGAGGTGGACACACAATTTTCATGGAATGAAAATTCTAATCTCGCATCATCTGGCTTCAGTAAAACCTCTGGTTTTGAAATTTCTATCCTATACTGTAAACATGTAGTATTGAGAAGTGATTGCATAATTTGTTTTCTGAATGATTCAAAAGACTAATTAAAATAGTTATATTTAAATAACTTTATTAGATTCCTATGAAGTTTTACTCATGACTACTTGTCTGATATTTATTTCAACCTATGTATTATTGATTTAGGGATTTTTGTATTTCTGGAAAAAACCCAATTTTTTTCAGGTTTCACTTAAAATGAAATCCATCATTTTTAATTATACAATGACATCATTTCTATAAAATGTGCTGTTTTTCATTCTTTCTCAAATGTAAGAGCCAATAAAAGAGAAGGGCGGATTTAGCCAAAATAATATTCTTGAAAATAAATTGTGTAACATTTTATTATTTCCAGGATTTGGGTTACACGCCTGATTTTATTTTGACTGCAATGGCTCCCTATATAAAGGACATTCATAAGAAAGGTATGCCTTTACACACACACACGCATATTGAAATACTTAATTTGCAATTTCTTTCTCTCCTTAGATGCATTTTTGTGTAGCTTCACTGTTAACTATTTATAAAGCTGAGTCAGAAATAGTTTTGCTATGTCATGACAATTTTTGTGATTTCCAAATTTTTGTGTCATCCCTATTCAGGATAAAAATATCATTATAAAGTTCATGAACATACAGCCTGAAAATTAAAATGGTAATTGATTCATTATAATGTTTTGTTTTGATTTTGATTTTTTTTAAACTTTTTTATGATCAGCTACATTTGTAAAGACATTCCAGCTGCCAAATGGAACTTTTAAATATTGAATATGTGGATATATTTTGTTTTTAACAATTGCAGAATTTTCTGCCAAAAATATTTTCTTATGAAAATTTTTAAATGACCTTTTTCCTAGTAACAGTTCTAGTTTCAACTAATTGTCAAAAAATGTTTCATTGAAAAATTCCAAATCAGTTCTCTTTGTTTAGATTAATAGTACTTTATTCCTGACGAATTTAGACTGCTTAATGTACTACTAGTATTTTGCCAAACAGCTTCTCTGAATGACACACTAAAAATGAAATATGAGAATAAAAAAATATAACGCTATATTTTTCCTTTAGCTCATCATACAATTACAAACTATGCTAGAGTAACTGATTGTTTCTGCTAAAATGATCTTGGTGAAATATAGACTTTTAATTACTAATAGGCTTTGAATTTACATCAGTGAGAATTCTTTAATTCTTTAGGAGTAGAAATAGTAGGACAACTGGATAGTTCATCACTTTTGGAAGCTTTACTTTAGAAATATTAAGCTGGGAAGAATAAGAATACGAATGCCCCTCCTCCCCCTTCCCCCCCAGACCTTACATTCTGAAGAACTTGTTGTGATTGCTATGGAAGTGCTTGAGATATAAACTACTTTGTGAGTGTTTCTACATGAGATGTTTACTGTGTAGTTGGTTAATTACCTGCACAGTAAATGTTGTGGTGTTTATACGTGTGCCCCTGTTAGGCTAGAGTAAACTAATTTACTCTGTAGCAGGATAGTACTTGTAAATACTATCCACAGCAGCGCACATGTCTAACTCCACAGCAAGGCAAATGTAGATGCTGGAGGGGCTGGCTGGGGTATGAGGGTGCTTCAGTGCGGAGGCTGCCTGCTGGCTAGACCCACACTGAAGCTCCCTCATGTCCCAGACTTCCCATCTGCAGCACATTTTGCCAGCGGGGGTGGGGGGGGAGGACAGGGGGCAACCCAGGGCTGGCAAGCTGAACCCCAGTCCCCCCTGCCAGCCAGAGCCACTCCACCCTGGCTCCACGTGCTGTGCTGTGCATGAATAAACTGCAGAGCTTGTTGCTCCTGAGTTAATTGCTCCCAGGTGCACATTCAAACAGCATGCCCAAGAGCAATTAACTCCAGAGCAGTAAGCTTTGTAGTTTATTCATGCACCATAATTACATGTGTAGATGCATTCCATTTTGGTTCAATATAACCCATTTAATCACAGGCTAAATGAAATTGGTATTTTTAATACACTCTTATGACTCAAATTGATCAGATGCCTGAGAGCATGCAAAGATGAATCCTATGTTTCAGGATGGTTTGCGGGGTTTTTATGTAAATGATGGTTATAACTCTAAACTCTTTGTCTTGCTTAGGTGTTCGTGTGGTTAGCAATGCTGGTGGAGTGAATCCACTTGCATGTGCTGCTGCTCTTCAAAATGTGGCAAAGAAAGCCGATGTTGATTTGAAAATAGCTGTTGTTGCTGGAGATGATCTAATGGGCGAGGTATTTTACTGATATGTTTTATGGCTCACTATGTGTGTGGTGAGTTTGACTGGCTTTTTATGCAGCACAAAGGTGACATTTATTATAGGTGGTATCATTTAGCACCTTGCTTTATCTAACTCCTTACTCATATTATTGGAAGGTATTTGATAATTATTACTTGTTTTTACCTAATCTTTTATTATATTGGAAAATCATTTCTAACCTTAATCTATTTTGTATTTGTCATGCACAAAAGTTACATGTGCATTATGTGAATCGGATTGTACTCAAAGGAACTAGACATAACTGCTTCCATAATTGCTTACAATGATCATGTTTTCTATTTGTTACTCTGACGGCATTGTAAGAACTCAGTCATGATTAGCGTTTCAGTTCTTTAACAAAACCAACTCATTTTAATACAGACAAATAGTAACATGAATGCGCCTAGAAGTACACACCTTTGAGCATGGGCAGACAAGGTTCCTTGGGTGAATTTGATATCTTTTATTAGACCAACCCAAATAGTTGGAGAATATTTATTAAGCAAGCTTTCGGGTTCAAAAACCCTTTGAGCAGGAATTCTACCTTAACTTCTGTCTGTAGTTCAACCCAATTTTACTAAGCATACTAGTTCCCATTTGATCATCTTAAAAAATAGCATTTTTTGTGAGACAAGAGGAAAATGTTTAGAAATTACATACAACAGGAATTCAAATGTCCTATTTAAAATTCAGAAACGCATCCTATTTTTCCTAGTTATTTGTAAATGATAAAATATAAATACATAATGATGAATGTTAGGCATTAAGAAGGAATGCTTTTTGTAGATCAAATGTTTTAAAAGAAAAGTTTAATAATTAAATCCAATGGTAAAACCAAGCCCTACTGAAATACAGAGGTGTTCTATTCTCTATTTTTATGGGTCAAGAATTCACCCTGCATATACTCCAACTCAAAGTTGGCCTGTGGATAGTTGTGTGTGACATGGAGACTTTCTAGGGAATCCTCCCCCTTGCCTCTGGCAGTGTGTCATACTACTGCTGTTGTTTTGAAGATGCCTTTGATGGCATGTAACTTGGCCTGCCTCAGATCTTGTGGTACTGGATTCAGCAGAATGAAACAGATGCAACATCAGATGCATCATTTCCACAAGCACTGTACGGCAGAGCCATATCCATTTGTATATCAGAGAGTATCTTGCTGCCACGGAGAAAGCAGGATATAGCTTTCAGTCAGTGGTTCCCAATCTGTGGTCTAGTGAGTATGGTCTGCAGATTACACTTTTCCCTCTCCCCTTTTAATGATAGATATGATCATAAGAATGTGTCCACAAGAAATTCTGAGGTTTTACAGGTGCTCATTGAACTCTGTGGTTAAATCCAGACCCTGCTCAAGTCTGAGTTTTGCTATGGACCTCAGTTGCATCGGTATGTCACCTGTGGTATGTTGCTGAGGTGACTGTCATGATTACAGTTTGGATATTTCTAATCTGTGGTCAGCATTTTAGCTTACCTAAATTGTTGTTAGTTCATGGTTCAAATAAGTAAAACACAATTATGTAGGAATATTTTTATTGTTGAAACCTTGTGATTGTGACCCAAGAGAAGTTCTCCCACAGTTCATGAACTGTCAGCTGTTGACTCCAAACTGAACTGATATTGAGACAAGGGAGGTAGCACCTGAGCTTCCCTTCTAGCTTCCCTGTTAGCCTTCGGTTTTCTGGCTTCACAGGCACCACAATCGAGCAGAGGTACTTCTTTAAAAATGATTTCATTTTGTTCAGTTTTAAAGGTTTTAAGGACATTTGAAGAAATTCTAACATAATCAGTTGATAAATTATTTGGGCTTATCACAGATGAATTAAATATGACACTGATGTTGAAGGGTACATCTACATGGCACAAAGCAGTGTCATTTGAAGATGCTCCAAGCTAGCTGTGAATGTAGCACAAGATAGTGTGCAGAGTTAATTAGTCCAGGCTCAGTGCTGCCCTAATATGGCTTCTGGTTCTGGTTCTAGTAGTAAATACCAAGCTACCTCGAATATCTCTGTGCAGGGAGGCTTTGCACTGTATAGATATATACAAAATCTCTTTTCTCTGTCTGCACAAAAGCTCTGAGGAAACCGTTTGAATCCTTCATTGGATAGTATGTGTTAACCCAGTTTACATTTTGCTTGTATTTAACAGCAATGCATTGCCTGGAGTAACTATAAGACGGGCATTTTGTTGTTGTTTGATGTTTATGAAGGATTTATATTAAATGCCATAAAATATTAATAGATTTTTTTTTTTAACAGAAAGATAACCTAAAAGGAGCTGGTATCGTGGATATGGAGAGTGGGAAGCCATTTCCTGAGGATATTCACAGTATGAATGCATATCTTGGGTGAGATATTTTAACAAGTTTTTTGTATGGTACTGATTATAGTATTATATATGGTATTGATTATGTCTGCTAATTTCATTCAGATTAAGATTATTTTAGTTTGAAAGTTTAATGTAGTATTTCTTTATATATGTTTTCCATATTTAAAACAACCTCCAAAATGAGATCTATTGTCTTTCTGGTTAATAAATATTTTTGCATAGAGCTTTACCTGCTGTGATTTTTTTTTTTTTGGCTTCACATCTTCCACTATTCTTCCACAAATTTTTGTTCAATCCAAAATAAATGTAGAATTTAGTATATAAAAGGTATGCACCACTACCTCATAAGCCATGTTTTTGACAGTAAATGGCAATTGATTCTTTGCTTTGTGCTTTATTTAATGCTGTTGACATGTTAGGCACATTCTGAACATTCCTACTCGATTAGACCCCTCAGGGACATAGTTGTGAAGAAATCTAGTTTGTGAATCCCATGCAACCTTAGCCAGGAGCTAGGTGCTGAGTTATTCCATCCAAGAAGGCTGTTGCACTGAGCATGTGCAAGTAGCAGAACAGTAGACATCTAAGTAACTTTACAAGTGAAAACTCAGCCACCTCTAGACTCTCAGGTGCCTAAGCAGTTATGCTGGATTTTTGTGCAGTGCTCAGTTGGATTTAGGTGCTTACAATTCAGCTAAGTTGCACTAATATTTTTAGGCACTTATATTTATTTGGCATCTATTTTGGGGGGGATTTTACCCTAAGTTTTTATTTTATTTTAGTTTTCTTGCAAGTTTTGTTTTTCTCTTTTTTGAGTCTTGACAGACAAAAGTCTGTTTTGGGGGAGGAATATTTTTGGTTTTATTTTCAGAGTAAACAAAAAATAATGTGATTTACACAGAAGTTAGGGGCTTGATCCTTGTTTGCTTGGTAAATGCTGTGGTCTGGGTGAAGGTTAGGGTATATCGTAAATGATCACTCCTGGTCTTTAAACATATGAACCCAATGTAACAGAAACAGAAGAGACTACATCTATATTGTGAGCTTTTTGGTATTTTTTTCTGTGAAAGCTGCTAAAGTTTTCTGAATACCTGTCCTGTTAGGCTGTAAACTGCAGTACTATTTCCCATATAGGTCCACCAATTTACCTTTGCCTTGTCCTGTAGGATTAACTGCACTAGAGTAGTTAGAGTTTAGATTTCTCACCTATTCTTCAAGAAAATGCCACTCTAGTCATATATGTTTTTAAAAAAATCTGCCCACAATTAAGTATGGGAGAAGCAAGGGGTTTTTGGAGATATCTTTTATTGGATCAATTTTCAAGCTGGGAGAGATAACAGACGTGCCCTTCCTCAGGTCTGGGAAAGAAGCAGGTGCAGCTATATAACAAATAAAACAATGGCCTCTATTTACCTCCAGATGTAAATTAAGACAGTTACTTAAAGCAGGGGTGTTCAACCCCTGGTCCATGGGCCAGATCCAGTCTCCAGCACCTTTTCATCCAGCCAGATCTGGTGTGCAGGGTGGTTTGGGACCTGATCCTAACACATCAGGCTTGGTAGAAGCAGCAATGGGGCCCCAAAGCCTGATCTTGGCATGTGGGGCCAGGCAGAGGTTGTGCAGGGCTGTGCAGGGCCTAAGCCTGGCACATGGAGCTTGGTGGAGGTGGCATGAGCACCTGGTTCTGATCCGTGCACATGAGGGTGGGTGGAGGCAGTGTAAAACCTGATCCCTGGATGCAGAGTTGGATGGAGGCATCTCACTGCCCCAGAGCCCCATCCCAATGTGTAGAGCATGGTAGAGGCAGTATGGGATCCTGGGGGCCCTAATTTCAGCATATGGGGCTGGGTGTAGGTGGTGCAGAGTCCTGGCACTTGTGGTCCAATCCTGGCACTTGGGGCTGGGTAGGGGCAGAAGAGTCCAGATCCAGGTGTAGGGACCCAATCATAGGGTACAGGGTCCAATCAGGGCCACAGACTGGCCCCACACAATTTATTTGTCCTGCAGAGGCAAAAGGTCATTCCTGACTTAAAGGAATGGAAGGGGAATAGGAACAAAGAGAAATGAACAAAAGTAGCTTCAAAACAAAACATGCTGTTAAATAGATAACCTAATTATGTAGAAGAACAGAATTATTCAATAGGATCATTATTATCTGAGAGGTTTGCAGAGACAGCAGATACATTTTAAGGAGTTATAAAGTCATTGTCCATGGCTTTTTGTGTCCAAATTTTTGTTACAAATTTTTTTTCCCAAGCTGTCTCATGAAAGTATTTTTTAGATTTCCTGTGAGTACAAGGATTGTGAAGTCAGGAAGAGTGTGTTTATTCTGTGAAAAGTATTTTCCTACTGATGATTGTATGTTTCTGTCCTTTATCATTTTTTTCTGTGTAAGTTAATTCTGGAGCTGTTTAGATTCACCCACATAGTTTCCATGAGGCACTTGGTGTATTGGATGAGATTATACCACGTTCTGGGATAGATGTGTAGGATCTGGGGTTCTGATAGTTCTGGTGTTGGAAATGTTGATTGTAGTGGCAATGGAAATGTGTTGATAGTTTTTGCATTTATTGGTAAGGCAGGATTGTATTCCACTTGATGTCTGTAGATCAGCCAGGAGTTGGGCAGAGTTTGGAGGTTGTTTGGAAACAAGGAGCAGATGGGTTGGGACTATTTCTCTCAAAGTCTGAATCTCTTCGAGTATAGGCTGTAATGGAAGAGCTTTCTTATAAGCACCCGTGTGAGAATGATATGTGACAGCCATGGGTTTATGGTCAGCAGAGGTTTTCTTTTTGCATTGTAATTGATTATTGTGGTGTGTTTAAGAGGCTTGTTCAGAGATGTGGCCTTTTTCTCAGTTGCAGTGTCCTTGCTGGGTAAAGGCAGTTTTTATGTTAGTGAAGTGGATGTCAGAGGTATTTTCCTCAGGCCAGATGCAGTGGTATCTCAAGGCTTGGCTATAGATTACAGCTTGCTTAATGTGTTTGGGATGATTGCGAGTTTTGCAGATGCATGTGTAGTGGTCTGTGGGGTTTTTTTTTTTGCATATACTAGTTTGTAGGGTGCCATCCAAGCTATGGATTGTGGTGTCTAGAAAGTTGATTTTAGCATAGGAATATTCCAGAGAGAATTTGATACGAGTTGTTTGAGCTGTGGTGAAAGCAAATTATAGAATTCGAGATGTACAATTCAGGTGATTAAAATGTCATCTATGTAATGGAGGTGTGGTACATGTTTGATGGTGAACTTTCTAAAATCTCTCTTTAATGTGGTTCATGGAGGTGTTGTCGTGTGGAGGTGGGGAGAGGCATGTACCCATAGCTGTGCTCATGATTTGGAGGAATTGTCAGTTGTTGCAAGTAAAGATGCGGGTGAGAGTGAAGTGCATGATTTGTCCAATATGTTGTGGTAAAAGGAGAGTTTTATTCTTAGATCTCTGTTAGGATACAGTGTTCTTTCCTAGTGATTTGTGGGTACAAAAACGGCCTGTCTTGTGAGATTCCCTCCACTTAACATGAAACAAAGTAGTAAGTTAGATATAACCCCAAACAAGCAAAAATTAAATTGAGAGTTGGCCAAAAGTCAGTAATGCAATGAAGGGTGGTGTGCACGGATGTGCCCAACTCAGTTTGGGTGCCAGGACCAGGCACTAACGTCTGTTGAGCGCCAATTCTTAGGGACAGACAGCTTGACTTCCTCTCACTCAGGCTCATAGGAAACACCCTCCAACTCACCTGCTACCTCTTGATCTTTTTAGGAGACAGGGAGGAGCCTTGGCTATTTATATTTTTGCTTTCATGAGTATCTCGAGTCGCTGGTCCTCAGGACTTCTCCTCCCTTTACACCCCATCCATGCACCAGCCAGATCTGACTGGATTACCAAGCTGCCAATCATCTAGTAAAAGGATAACACGGCTAATGGGTCACTTAATTAGCCATGCTTTTTTACGGCTTGTAGTCTCGACCAGTTGAGAAGGCTGAGAGAGGACTTGATAGTGGCCTACTGCTATATCAGAGGAGTGCATCAGGAGCTCGGTGAACAACTGTTCACTAGGGCACCCCTGGGGAAGACCAGGACCAATGGATACAAACTCCTGAAAGGCCGCTTCAGGCTTAATACCAGGAGAAACTCCTTCACAGTCAGGGTATCCAGACGGTAAAATTAACTCCCTCCAGAGGTGGTGCAGTCACTTATCCTGGAGGTTTTTAAGAAGAGACTGGACAGTCACCTTGCTGGGGTCACTTGACCCCAGTTGCCTTCCTGCCTAGAGCGGGGTGAGGGGGGGAGCTGGACCTGATGATCTGTGAGGTCCCTTCTAGCCCCTAACAATTTATGAATCTATGAAAATTCACTTCCAGCTTTGTCTTAAGTCCCCCACATGGAGGCATCTAGGTCTGTTCCACCTTTGGGTGACAACACTCAAGTCAATTGTAGCACAGCTACTACCTCCTATTGACCTATTCTATGGGGTCCACTGGCTAGGCAGTCTATACCTGAGCTCTGTGCAGGGTGCCCGGGGTCTTTCCCCTCTTGGCACAGCCTGACAATGTCGACCCCTTTTGCTGGCCCCAAGGCACATTGATAAATTATGTCCCCTTTTTCCTCAGTATCCTAGGGGATTACCAGCCCAGACTTAATGCTTCAGCCCCCAATAAAGTTCTTTTAGCTTTCAGTATCCATGACCGGTGGGGTGAGTCTGGAGTGCCTTTAACGCAAGCCAAAAAAAATTTGCCATAACCTTTTTTAGCTTGAAGTTCATGTGATATTTGTATCTTTGCTATTAAGATGATTTAGTGTATTTTAAATATGTTTTTAATTTGTCTTCTGTCAAAAAGGGGCCTAGGTTTATTCATGATGATTTGGGAAAAACTCTTTAAGAAAAGCACCTGGCTAAATTTTTTAAACTGTCCATTCCAAAGGGAGACATTGTGATCCAGGCCAAGTACAGACATTACACATAAACTGGTCTAAGTGATGGCAGATTGATCTAAACCCATAACATACTGCAGCATGGGTACCACAGATGGCACAGGCAGCCTGTGTGTGTATCATGTAGCAGATTAGGGAAGGAATAGGCAGCACAACAGCAGATAGGGCAGGAAGCAGAAAGAAAAGCATCAGATCAGGCAGGGAGCACACAGCAAGAAGGAGAAGGCTGAACGGCAGATCGGGTAAGAGAATCGGATTGGAGTGTCACTGCGAGGTGTGCCTGTCAAATTTCTGACGTGCCTGTCAAAAAGGTTGGTGCTCACTGAACTAGATGATCTGCATTATTTTGGATGTTGATTTCGTAGAGGATGCTTTGAGTGATAGAACATTATAGCTGTGACATCCAATTATTTGTTACAGTGTATTTTAAAATCTATTATTTGGGGGAAAAATGTAGAATAAGAACTCAGACTATTTTTGTTTTTTCATTTTTTTAAATCATGTTAGAGCAAGACCAATAAGCAGAGCTCTTGACCTTGGAGCTGATATTGTTGTGACTGGCAGATGTGTTGACAGCAGTATTGTATTAGGACCACTCATTCATTCTGTAAGTATGGACTAATTTTAATAAATAGTCTTAATGCTGTTTTCATAGTATTGTGAACACATCTAAAAATATTTAGTAACCATTGTCAAGTACTTTTTAATTTAGTACATGCATTTTGATAAAAATAGTGAGGTCAAATAGCTTTTGGCCTTTTCTTTGACATTAAGTTAATTCACCATTGGGTACATGACATTTTTTCCAGTTTCATTTAAAACATAAATTACCGTGTTCTTACTGCAAGTTTCTTACTACAAGCAAGTTGGAAACTTTTTTGTCCCATGTGGGATTCATTGGTCAAATAATGTGTTTTAGCTGAAGTACTTAAATAGCAACTTGGTGAAATCTGGGTTCCATTGATGTCCCCTGAGAAATTTGCCATGGTCTTTGGTAGAGTCCAGATTTCATCCTTGCTCTGTTCTCTATTTAAATTGTAACATTTGAGGTTGAAACAAACATTTCCATTTACCACAAGGGGGCACTAATAGTTTATGTTTATTTATAACATACTCATGAATTCTTGTACTGGGCTATTTTCTATCAGTCAGCAATTTTATTTTATTAAGTTGAGCTTTTATGCGACATGCCATAGATTGGTCAAATTTCAAGAAATAACACAAGGCAGGATGCATGTTTTTTTGAATATTTGAATAGCTTATATATCTTTATGACCACACACCCTGGAATGTTTAATTTTCTTATTGATGCACAGTAAAATAGCACTAGGTTTGTGTGAATATATATTTTAAAAATAGTTCACTTTAAAGTTTACTGCATTTTTGGCCCCATGCTTAAAAAATATTTCCTAATGTCTAGCTAGACTTTCTATTTCAGAGTTTAAGTCATTACTACTTGTTATTCTATTCATAACAGACTTAAGTGCATTATTAACCCTAAAACAGTCTGTCTCTTAGTTGGGCATCTGCTATTGTCTTTTCTGTTAATTCTAAATGAGAAACAATGAATAGTTCATGTTATGTTAAAATGTGATTGATAAATGTGCTAGCCAGGTAAAACAAACACCAAAGCCAGGCCAATTTTTAAGGAAGATTGTCAGTAGCCTACTCACTTGCAGTTTCGAAAGGTTAGAAATAATGTATTGACTTAAGTGGCATAGCAGGAAATGTGTGCTAGACAGTATTATTATTTATGCCTTTAATGCACTCAAGTTCTGAGGTGGGCTAGTCATTGATAATTATATTTAAAGGCAAAACTTTAAATTCTTACTGTTTTTTACTTGGGTGTATGAGTCTGAGGAAGATTAATATAGTATTTTGGCAAAATAGTTCTTTGTCGCCACAGTTATATAGGCACGGTTGTAACCTCCATTAACCAATGAGATGGTTCTATGGTTTATTGTAGAAATCTAATTTAAATGGTCTATTACTCAGAATATCCACTGAATTTTCTTTTCTGTACATATATGTGTAAAGTTTGTGTGCATATGTATATAATGTAGTTGTATTTTCTTTTAGTTTGGCTGGAACAGGGATGAGTTTGACTTATTAGCAGCTGGCAGGTAAGTGATAAGTATTAGAAATTTATAAACTCGTTACCATTTAAAATAAAATGAAGGCAAGTGAACTTCAATATTTAAAATACCTAGGAGCTCATATTACTCAATACCTTTGTTTGAATGCTGCAGTTTACTAATAGAGGTCGTAAAAATATATGCAGTTTTGAAACCTGAATTTTATTTTAAAAAATGTAAGAAATGAACACAAGAAAATTGATACAATTTTTTTTTTTCTTTCTGCATTATGATGAAAAGAAGTATAGCCTGTAAGGTTAGGTTCAGGAATTACTGGGTACAGTCTGATGAACTTGTGTTATGAAGGAAATCAAAGTAAGTAGTCAGAATGTCCCTTGCAATTTAAGAAAAACACACGTTACTCTTATATGATGATCTCAGTGAACCTATTAACATTATTTTTTAACTCCTTCTTGCTTAAGAGGTAAATATGGAGAGTGACTCTAGCTCCATTAAAGTCAACTGCTGTTAACCACTGGTTGCAGTTGGACCACTATTTTATCTGTAATTCTTTTCTATATAATGCTATCCTAGATACAAAAAATAGTGTTAGTTTGTTTTTGAGACACATAGTACATACTCACTAATCAAGAATACTATCCCTTTAGGGTGCAATCCTTTGAATCAGGGATGTCCAGCTGGCCCCCAAAGTGTTAGCATACAGCCTATGGGCTCTGACCTGGCTGCCTCTCTGCTCCTCCCCCTCCATCCCCTCCTTTGCCAAGTGCAGTCAAGAGAGGGATGGAGCTGGCCTATAGGGATGTGCAAAGCAGGCAGTATTTGATTTGGATTCGGCCCGATTTGGGGGACAGTGATTCGATTCGCTGATTTGGATCACTGTCCCAATTTGATTTGGCAGAATCTGAATCTGCAGATTTGATTCTGATTTGGAGAATCAGTGATTTGGCCATAGACACAGCTTTATATGTTTTTTCTATGTACATCAAGGTACCAGGCACAGCTTGTGAACACTGAGATGGTGGGGAAGATGAAGCGTCCCACGAGAGCACGGGGGACAGGGGGAGCCCACACGCTCGGCGGTATACCCGGAAGTGGATTGGAAATACTTCTGGTCCACTTCCAGGTCTGCTGCTAAGTGCTTGGGGGGCCCGCCCTCCCTCCACCTCCCTGGCTTGGTGATCAGCTGCAGGGGGACCCCGGGTGCCCCACCAGACCCAGGAGGCACCAGTCGCTGAGCTGGGGGAGCAGGGGGTTCCCCTGTGCACTCTGAGGCGGACCCAGAAGTGGACCAGAAATACTTCTGGTACACTTCCGTGTCTGCTGCCCAGTGCACAGGGGACCCCCCCCATGCTCCCGTGGGACGCTCCATCTGCCCCGCCATCTTAGCATTCATGAGCCATGCCTGGTACCTCGAGGTACGTAGAAAAAACATATAAAGCTGTGTCTATGGCCGAATCGTCGAATCTCTCTGAATCGAGTTGGAGGCTTCCAATTTGATTCAGAGATTAATTGATCTCCTGATTTGATTCTGAGATTCGGCTGCCGAATCAGGCCAAATCTCTGAATTGAATCAGCGACTGAAACTTCGCACAGCCCTCACGCTGTGTGCAGCAGGGCAAGTGCAGGGCAGCCCACATGGTAGGAGGGATTTGAGGGGAGGTGCCCACTTGCCCATGCAGCATGCGGCCCCCTGAGTCTGTGGTATGCTTGGTGTGCAACCCTCCCAGGTCTGTTGCCCCTGCTTGCCCAGAAGTTGGACAGTCATGCTTTAAACAATAATGTTGATGGGGTTTTCTTCATTTAGTTATTACCAGCATGGTAGATCCAAACATTGAGTTTAGGCTAAGGTTTTCAAAAGCGAGTACTGATTTTTGGGTGGTAAGCTAGAGACACATTAAAGGAGCCTGATTTTCAGGAAGTCTTGATTTTTCTTTTCCTCTGAACATCAAGTCTCTTAAGGTTTCTTACACTGGACATTCAAACTTGCTAGTTAGCTTTTTAAATATTGGCTTATATATATCAAACAGCATCAGAGGTTAAGATTAAGGAGAGGGTCTAAAGCTTTTTCCTTATATTACTTAATTCTGCTGAAATTGTACTATTATATTTTTAGATTGGTGACAGCTTATTATTCATCATATTTAGTTACTAACGTCTATTTTGTTTTCTAGTCTTGCTGGCCATCTCATTGAATGTGGTGCTCAGAGTACAGGTGGAATATTCACAGACTGGCATGCCGTACCAGACTGGTAGGGAGCTGTGTCAATAGCATAAACGTGTGTGTGTTGGAGTGACCAAAGAAAAATAGCCACTGAGTCCAAGTTTCCTGCTGTTTCTGTGTTCAAAGTTTTCTACCCCAATGCCTTCTATTCTTTTGGTCTTTGAATATGTTTCCATTTCAAGACACTCTTGTAAAATATTAATCTTCCTTACTGTCCTAATCTATCCTGATTATCTAGAGCTCACTGTGCTCCAATGGAGTCTTATCACTGATTACAATAGTGGGCATTATCTTCCTGTTTGTTGTGCTGTGCATTTTTTTCTTTCCATTTTTTTATTTTTTACTTTTTGGAAAGATCTGATATCATTCCTTTTTGTCTTCATGCTTGATACTGGTAGGTTAGACACTATTTTGCCTATCCCTCAGTTGGATCACCAAAGCTTTTTCCACTATGAAATACATTTTAGTACTGAAAGTGGTGTCTTTGCTATGGCTTCTGAACACCTATGGCTTTTATATAGGAAATGGCACTAACCACATCAAAAGAAATATTTAGCATCTTGTCAGATGTTCTTTTCTCAGACAGTAGTTATTCAGATATAATGTCTTTCTACACCTCAGGATCCTATTTATTATCATGACTAGTTAAAAATCAAATGAAAGAGTTTACTTTGATTCTATTATACCTGCTAGGCATCAAAGTGTACTCAGGTGCCTAAGTGTGATTCTGTTCAATTCTATTTGAGTCCCTGAAAATGCAGTAATAGATCTACTTTCGTTATACCCCATCCGTTGAGAATGAGTCACAACATGAAAACAGTGAGAAGCAGCACATGCCCACCTTTTGCATTGACAGTTTTCTAGGGACTTGAGCACAGTGGAATAGGCTCATACTTAGGCACCTAACTCCACTTATGTGCCTAATAGGTGGAACAGAATTTGGCCTTTAGTACTCTTGGTAGCAGGACATTGTGGGCCACGATTCCCGGATGGTCCTTGGGAAACGGCTGCAGTTGTGTGTCGAGTGGGGCACCGGGTGGTGACACCAACCCAGACATGCTCGGGGATGCCAAGTGCGAGAGGGAGATGAGATAAACACCACAGACAATGGGGTTTGAAATAAAACTTGATATTTACTTACAGAACTGTCGACACAACTTGAAGGGTGATATAACTTGGAGGCGATGAACTATATACAGCAACAAGGGGTAAGCGATGGGTGACGGGTGGAGACTGCAGTATACAAGTACGATGTCTGGTTGGGACAAAGTACAGCGCGTTCCGGATTTGGCGATGCAGTAAACTATAATGCTCGGAGCGACCGGAGCAGCTTCTGCTATAGACCTAGGGGTCTGACCAGGCCCCAAGACGGGTGATCAATCCGCCTTGAGAGTCAGAGCCTGGGGACCATGCACCGAGGCGTGCGGTCCCCTATATAACTTTTTCGGCCAATCAGGAAGCTCCCCGATGGTACGTTCTGGAACCCATGGACATGCTGGCCAGCCAGCCATGCCCATTAGGTGGTCTTTGATTGGCTAGACCACAGGTGATCACACCCTGATCACGCATCGCTCGCATGTTGGGTCAAATTGCT